ATGGCTAGCCCTGACCACTGAGAACACAAGCCGTTTTGTATGATTTAATTAGGAAACTCTTTTTTGAAAGAGGACATGTTTAACCGTAGACGTAGTTCCTCTCCCCTTCTCTGTGTTGACACACCCAAAAGGCTGAAGGATCTGAACAAAGCAGGTCAAAGAAACCCAAAATATCTTAGGGAGACTAACAAATTTGTGAAAATCATCCTCTTTATGAACATTAGGCTGTTCTGAATGAAAGATATAGCAAGAAAACATATCTACCACATCTGTGATAAGAAAGGCAGTCAGAAGACTCCAGGGTGAAAGAAATTCAAGACATTCAACTTTCTAGAAACTCCAAAGGGGGCTGGAAGGAGAAATCATAGCTCTGCTTTTCATAGTAGAAACGCCTTTGGTAGTCTTTACCATCTAGCAAGAAGGTCTTACTTTACCTTAAAAGTATCTGGTGTATTTTTCTGAACCCTGCTAAGATCCTCTGGAAACATATTTACATGATCTTTTTTTTTTTTCTAATCAAATAGCTCTTATGCAGCTGTATCTGGGGCCTGATATCAGATCACATTGACCTTTCTTTAAAAAGGGACAGGAAAATCATTTTATATGTTAGCAGATAAAAGGGAAGGAGGTAGACATTCTCCTGTTGAACTTCCCCTGGCTTCAGAGAAAATGACAAGACTCAGAGATATCCTCGTTCTCTGCTCTGGTTCAATTTTCTGCGAATAATTACATTCTCTTCCCTAGAGTAATTTTGGAGGCAAATGAAGAAAGGTAACTCTTCTTCAAAAAAAGAAAAAACTAAGAGTCTTAATGATATAAATGCCATTGAAAAGGTTTTCTACCTTTTTTCTCCTTCTCCATAAAGCAAAACATTTTCAAATTGAAAATGCAGGAATGTCAACATAGGTGACTCAAGCTGCAGGTCACCCACAGCTTGTGGGACACGTTACCTGGGCTAAACTCTACACCCAATTCACAACATGCACAAGCTGGGCTTTTTAGAAGCATGGTAACATGCTTTCAATGGCAACTTACTCACATTCCCCCTTTATTCATTGCCATCTACTTGTGGCATATAAGCTTTTAAGTGGAGTAATATTAAAAAACAAACAAATACCAAACAATAAACCACAACCACACATACTTTACCACAAATATGCCAAGCATAAAGCAAATTCAGTTTCTGGATCTGTTATCAAGTAATATTTCAGAAAGTCAAGAGATAAGTTTGTCCCAAGAAGGAAAAAAAAAGGAACAGATGCAGCTTGCAGTCTGGCACAGTGTACAGCACATGACAAAGTTTGGAAAGAAAAGCCTGTAGCTCCCTTTTTACCTCACTAAGACAAAATGTACAAAGAGCTATAATCCCCTCCCCATTTTAGGAACAATAAAAAACTGTTAATGCATATGGTATTATAAAAAGTAACAGTAAAAAGCACCCATTTGGCATTCCCTAGAAATCTGAATTTTTGGACGTGGTGCCGAATCATCCATGTAATTTCTCAGTTCAGTCATATTAAGAGATGCTTCCTACCTTCTGAAATATCACACTACTGCTCCGATTGAATAAATTTAATTCTCTCCCTCCTCACCCCCAACTAACATGAAACAGATGGAAAATACATTACACTGGAAGTTCTCAAAGAATTATTTTCTCCTTCAAATACCAATCACTGATCGCAGTGTGCTCCTTAGATGCACAACATATCAACTGACTCGACTGTGAGAAAAAAAATCAAAATTAGACCTGTTGTTCAGAAAAGATGTAATACATTATGTTGGAAGAACAAATGTTTCTAAGTACCTTGCTGGTACCTTTGCTAGGTATCTTTCAAGACAAACCTTTAAAATGTACAACTTCCACACCTAAGCCTCGTGCCACACACCAGTAGACATAAGATCAACACTGAGGAAATGGTGTCCTTGCACATAAGCAAAAGAATCTGCAGTTCAAAGTTCAGAGGCTCATTTGGTTTTCTTATATTTGTCTCATCCAACTTTAAGATTTTGCTTTAAATGACAATTGTGAGCCCTCTTGAATTTGGCTGTCTTATATATGTGTGTTATGATAGATCACTGAGGCGGCATGGACTCCTTGGCACACCTATGTTGAAAAGTAATCAGTGCACATACAAAAAAAAGATTAATTCAGTTTGAAAGATAGAGCACTGAAGAAGGACCACATGGGAGCCCATTTTCCAAGTATGTGTTTCACTCCTCATGATTGTTTTCTTCCTTATCCTCCCCAGCATTACCAGTTACTTATATTCAAGCAATAAAAAAAAAATCCTCTGGCAACACATCCAGTGCAGAGTCATGTATAAATCAAAATTCAATTGTTTTAGTACCTGAACTCAGTAAATTTCACACACAGGAGAGAAGCTGTATGCAAAAGGAACACATTCTTCAATCACAGCCAGCCAATGAAGCTAGTGCAACACAAATGAAAATTCCCACCGAGTTACAGGCTGAAGAGCTATTTGGAACTACAATGTGGCCATCCACTCCTACCTTTGCTACAACGCAGCCAGATAAGGTATTATTCTGTATCTTTAAAAGACCATCCTATTGTGTTAAGTTAATTCAGCTGAGCTTTAGCAAGTGTGAGAGAGGAATCACAGACTCCTGCCCATCCTGACAGAGCACAATGCTTTCTGCCACGAGTGGTCCCAAAGAAGTCACGCAGCATGCCAGGTACAAAGTATTTGCAGAAGTGAGCCCTCAGACAGGGCTATAAAAGCTCTGGGTTAAGGAAGCACACGCCAACTTGCTTCTGCTTGATCTGTTACGCAGCTTGACAGTAACAGATAGCCAGTTGCATTAGTGTCAATGTTCAGATAAGTTTCTTTCAATATCTGTCACAAAAAACAGACACGGTATCAGTGTGCCAGCTGTGTTATCGGTCACTACATAGCTGATCATACTTAATAACATCCTCGAGCACAGACACGGCTAACAAGTATCAGAGGCGGCGATTACTACTGTGCGCCAGTCACCCAGATCGTTCTGACTCAGAGCTGCCAACGGCGTGCGTTCGGCGAGCGCCTGCCTCCCACCTTTTCCCTCTCCAATACGTTAACTTGCCGCAATACGGAGACAGACTTTGTTTTGAAACCCTCAACAGGATCACTGAAAGAAAAGAGGAAAAATGCCATAAATGATCCTCTGGACTGTTTCCAGGGCAGCGCATTGTCTTAACGATTGCTTTGGAAGCAAGCCAAAAATGGGAAGTGTTCTTGCAAGTGAGCATGCTACTATACTCAAGCGCAAGGTAGCATTTAATTCCTTTGCCGACATCAGCATGGTTAGAAATTAAGAAGCCTGTTTAATAAACAGGTTGCTCGAATTCCAGTTACCAAACACCAAATTCTCCTCTATCCATCCCGCCGACACTCACTCAGTTCCTGTCCCCCACCCACTTCCCAACATAAACTGCTTTCTTTTTTGGATACTTTCTCTCCTTTATTGAAAGTCAAATAAAATTAGTATATTAATTACATCAACTATGACTAGGTCTGTAATCAAGAGCAAGTTAACTAAGGAAAGGAAAAAAGTCAGTCACTCCAAAAAGCATTTGAAAACCTCAAAACAGGCTTCTATGGGACACAGCGCTTAATATTTTTAACAGCTTTAATACAGTCTACTGAATGGTTTCATGGGGGCAGTTTTTCACATTACAATTACTCCTAATGAGATCACCCTCCACAGTGTATAAGCCCTCATCCCTTCCCAACAGAACAATGAAACATTTGTGCAAGGCTACAGAGGCCTCAGATCAGCTTCGTTCACTTCACCTTGTACCGAATTTCCTCGTAAAAACTCGTCAAGAACACAATTCTGTTTTTTTCCTGCGGACAAATTATTAATAAGGAGCCTCATTTACTTTGTTGTAGGGTGTTCCCAATCCTCTACAGATTTTGAAGGCTTCACACAAACATCTCAGACTCAGTGACTGCTGCCAGCTTTGTTTTTGAGATTGTGTAGGTTTCTCCTCTTCACAGATTTGTGGGTTTTTTCCAGTTTTTTACTTAGAACATTTCTCACCAGCAAATGTCTGCCTATCTTACAACAAAAATATGGCAATATATAAATTCTTTGTGTTATGTTATGATAAAGATATAGACCTTGTGTTAAATGTACATGAAAATACCTGGCTTCAGAAAAACTGCCTATTCTCTTGATTTTACTGTAAGCAAAGACAATGAAATATCCGTTCTTGTGCTAAGCAGAAATGTTTTAGGCATGTAGCCCCAGTGACAGCAATGCTAAGGGTAAGTATCATTCTAAAAAAATGGATAACTGAATCAGTCTGAATTAGAAAGTACAACTCAGTAGTCTCTGATCTGCTAGTATTTTAAACGAATTACCATGATCCCATGGCAAGCCAGAAGTTTAGAGTTAGTTTTATGCAAAAAGATATTGTAGAAAGGAAAACATACTTAATTCTGAAAACTTGATATTTCATTTGAAAGATCTATCATGTGTTTGAATTTTTATACACTCGACACAAACCTCTAACTACGTTTTTATTGTGTGTGCATTCTTCCCATTACTAACAACACCTCATTCTAAGTTACTTCCTCAGTTTTAGTTTCCTTATAATTCTGCCACAGATCATTAGAAAGAACAAATTGTTTAACTACTCATATCTGAGATTATTGACACAATGGTCTGTGACAGGTATGACTTGCTTGGCATTACCAAGAGGTACAAGGAACATCACCTTAATCGGTTTAAAATGTTAGTCCTGAATCTATATTTATGTCATACAACTTTAACTTTTCTTGTTTAAATTTAAAAATGCAGTCTGCAACCGCTGATTTCCATTTCCAGAAGGGCTGACTGCTATAGATTAGCCAGTGTGAAGTTTACAGATTGAGGATCCGGAAACTTTAAAAGGAGACTGATGACATATTTCTCTTGGGGGAAAAAAAAAAAAAAGAAGCTGCTAGAACATGACCTATGATGTACATATTGCAGCAAGTTGTATGTTTACTTACGTTCACATGTGTCTCCTTTTTGCTGGTATCCTGCTTTGCAGATACATTTTCCAATGGGCACTAACCATTCTCCCTCCGCGCTACAGTGCATCTTCGGCGAGTTCTCTGCCTCCTCCTCTGCACTGCTGACACAAGTTCCTCGTACTTCAACTAAAGAGGAAAACTCTGAACCAGTCACTGTGTCAGGAAAAATAGCTAAGTTCTCAATGATGGACCAGCACTTCTTATAGTAGACTTTGACAGAGACCAGAGCAATGCAGGCCCCTACATCCTGAAATGCAAGATAGAATCCTTTTTTGGACAAAGGTCCAATTTCTCTCACCTCTGTGTTAAGTTTCATTTTTCTCTCCCCAAGATCACCTTGGGTAAAGCTTTCATCTGCTGCAATAGTGTCTATTTTTACATATTGGTTTTCTCGGATATTCCTGCCAGTGTCGTAGTCTGTTTCATAATAATACAAGTTAAAAGTTTCTTTACAAGTCCCCAGAACTCCAGGAAGACTGTTACAATCCCTCAGAGTGAATTTCAGTTCTACAAAAATCCTTTGTGCATTGCTTTTTGCAATCCAGTTAGTCCGAAGCCAGTTGTTTTGGTTTGATTCCATCACCTGGCATACCTGGTATGTTCGTATAGGAGTGTAGTTTTCATCCAGTCCACTAATTTCTTCCCACTAAAACAATAACAAAAAGTTAGTAATACAAAACAAGTATGCCACTAGATGTAACTACCATGTATTTTAAAAGGCTTCACACAACTCAAGTCTCCCTCCTTTTTAACAGTATGGCTTCATAAAGAGTAGGTTATTGTTAAAATACTCTTAAGTACCCAAATGAAGAAAATAACATATTTCCCACATACAGATAATTTCTAAAAAACATTGTCATATCATGGGCACAGTTGTACAGGGGAAGCTTCAGAGAAGTCTGTTCAGCATACCGAGTTCTGATTATACACTGGGCTTCCCCACATTTCATTAAGGTCAGGACAGTTTTGGGTGAGCAAAGACCAAAAAGAAGAAAACAGCTTCGCTTCCTGAGAAACTTAAAATCAGTGAAGTCTTAGAAACTGAAATTGCCTAGCGTTACAGTACATAAAACTTGCGTACATAAAAGTTCCAGCGGAACTTTCAGTTGTACAGAAGGCATGGGACTGGGTCCTGAAACTTGTGAATCAGACCATTTTCACTCCTATATAATGAAAGTGGCATAGAGAGAGGGCAAGAGAAAACAGACGGAATTAAAAATCTGAAACCAAGAAAACATTTTGGTTGTCCCCTTTTTGTTAAGTCCACCTTCTGTTTTACTTAGAAACCAAAGGTAAGCGGGAGCTCTTCACCTCACATTTTGTTCAGTGGCTGCATCCATGTTAAAAGGAGCAAGCTTCGTTTGGTTGGGAGTTCAAATGAACCATGAGATTACATACATAATTAAGAACAACCCACATGACTGAAAGTTCACTGGTTCAAAGCCTGTTTGTTGTTGTTGTTCCCTCTTTAGGATACCAACTGTGTAACAAACTGGTAAGTCTGTAACAGCCCCGTAGTCTTTAACAGCCTTTGGTGGCGTGGGAATTTGCACCTCTGGCAACAGCAAACCTTCCACTGAAACCAACCAGGCAGATCTGCCCAGGTGTAACCAAAACAGTATCTGTCTCCCACTTTTTTTGACATTTCTTGTAACATTTAACTCACTGCAACAACCGCAGCTGTAATAAATTAGGGGAGGGAGGGTGTTGAGCTATACTCGCCCGATCATATAGGCAACCATGACTTCTCCGTATGGCACTTAGCCCTCTGGCCCTGTGTCAATAATGCACTTAAGCTCACGCTTAAGATCAATGACAATACTTATGAGCTTAATAGTAAGCATGTGCTTAAGTGCTTTGTGGGACTAGCATACGCGGCACCTCTGCAGGATGGAGCACCCACTGACATTCCTTACACCGGTAACCAAGCGTGGAAGGCATTGGTTTCCCAGACTAGCAGCCATGCAGTATACAGTACTTTAAAGCCTATTTGACAGCGAATGAGATCATTTTAATGTTGATGTACTGCTCCAAGAAAAAGCAGATGTGGCTGATTTGATGCTGGAAGTTATCACCACAAAATATATCACGGCTGCAGATGCTGAAATGCACAGAAGTTGTAAATATCAAAGTGCATTTCAAAGACTCACAGTTAATATAGACATGGTGTGTATGATATTATATATGCATATGGTATTAAATGTTTGAATTATATTATTAAATGCTGATGGAGTTGACTGAACTGATTGCATATGGAACTGTATTAATCTCAGAACAGAAGAAAGTCTATCTTCATAATAAATTTATTAGATCTGAATGAGTAAGATTCCCTCCCCCCCCCGCCCCATACAAAGTAGTACAAACAAGGAAAAGAAAAAAAAAGGGGAGCCCTGGACTGAGGCTTTTGGCTCTGCCACATTGAAAACCAAAAAGAAAAACAACCAACAAAACAGACAAAAAAGAAAACACAATAAAATAAAAACTAAACACAAATATGAAAGAAAAGGCATGAAGCCTAAAATTTTACTGATTTTTATAGTCTCCATTTCACATCAGGTTGTGTTGGGGTTTTCTTGTTTTGAGTCAGTTTGGGGTTTTTTTTGTTTTACTTTTTATCTTATATAAGCAGACCTCTCTCAAAACACCAAGCCAGATTCTGCAATGAGATATTCCGGTTAGACAACATATCATATCTTTTAAGTGAAAGTAACTCTAATGCACCACACAACAGAATCTGGCTCCTCAGGTTTTGATGTGGACTGCTCCATGAAAACAAATTCCCCTCCCTCCCCCCAAAAAACAGAAAGCAAACAAAAAACAAACAAACAAACAAAATGCATTTAACAAAATCAAACCATTTTTTGTAATACAAGACAAATGAACTTTCTTAGATTTAGAAGCCCACTACCTGAGGCTAGCTATCAGAGTCTTACGCTACAGCCAAGGAAATACAAAACACTACATTCAGATAAGAAGTCCTGCTTTATGTTAACCCTAGCATTAAACACTGAAGTCTGTCTTTCTATAATTTCTCCAAAGCCATGGAGTATGATTTTCCTAAAAAATTAAAGAAACATGACTTATGATTCAGTTGTGTAATCACAGAGCTATTATTTCAAGTAGTCCATTGGAAGTGTACCTGCTTCTCTGTGGAGAAAAAAATCCATCAGTATTTCAGGATATATTTTCACCTATGCCATCCTGAGGTCATGGTTCATTAAAGTCTTTTTAAAGTGATCAATTCTGTGATAGCTTTTACAGCAAGAAAATTCAACTTTTCTTTGTCCTGCTGCAACATATGGCAATATACATGCAATTCCATTTGAATGTGTCTTGTTCTATTGGTTTCAATATATGGCATTTTAACTTCTTACTTATCTTAACAATGTTTGAGATCATTGTTAGACGTAACATTTGCAGTTGAATGAGGCATTTAATGAGTGTCTGGATGATATATTCCATACTGAAGATTTGCTGTGTTTATTCCCATGAAGTCTTTATTGCATAGTAGAAAATTCAGTAATTAAAAATAGAAAAACATTTATTTTCAAAATTACATTATTAAAGTGGTACTTTTATGTTACTTTACAGGCAAGTATTTCTGAACATTTTCACACATGTGAATCCAGCCATTAATTTTGATTCACTTTTAATTCCTGATTGAAATGGGCTTCTGCCTCTGAAAGTTGCCTTTCACTATTCGTTGAATTTGACTCTACTTTCATCTTTCAGTATGCTGACATGCGTAACATGTGTTGACATGTCTTTCATTATCTACAGGTTAGCCTAATATAATTGCCACCAAGCTAATCTGTCAAACACCTCTGGTAAAGACTTCAATCAGTGCAAAATGCTAATGCCGAGGTTATTAGCTATCATACGCGTTGAGCTCACATTACATTCTTTCTGAAGTCCTTAGACTCTTTTCCAGTTTATGCTTGTATTGATTTTACGATCTTGCTTTTAAAGAAAGACACTTTCAGATTTTCATTCTTCTTATTTAAAGGATTTGTTACACTTTTGTATCCCACACTTCATGCTCTTCTGGCTCCAGATTTCTTAACGCGCTGCAGATTAAAGGCCTGATCCCCCAAGTCCTTGTTCATGCCAGAAGTCGCAATGGATTCAGCAAGACTGCTTCCATGACTAAGAACTGTCCCTATAATTTAAAATTTGTCAGACTGAGCTAAGGTAGGACAATATATCCATTTTATCGTTCCCAAAATGTTCTTCCTCAAAACTTGAAGACGACAGGTATTTATACCACTTTTAATTCAGACTGAAAGCAGCATTTCTCAACTTTACATATATAATAAATAACACAATAACACCAACATTTCTAAACTTCTCATTTTTTATAACGATGTATTTTACAATGGTACATTTCATGGAGTATGATGAGATTAATTTGTAAGCAAGCTGGAGGTAGTCTTTAACCACATAATTGGTGTCTAGTTCCAGATATCAAGCTCCTCAAGATTTGGGGATGTTTCAAGTTTGGAATGTCATTTCAAACACATCTGCAGTATAAATGTTTTTATTTTAGAGCACTTCAATCTGTGCTATTCAATTACAAAGAAAACATCGTAAACAAATTTATGATCACCCATTATACAGAAAATTAAAAACATATTTTTAGAAAGTTTCTGCACAGAAGTAAATCTGCTGTTTCTAGAGGAAGAAGGAAAAAGTTATTTTAAATACTGGGTTATAAATATACAGAGCTTTCTGGTACAGCACAAAGGATTACACTACAAAACATAAAGCTACTGACAACATTTAGGTGAGTTTATAAAGAGACACTTCCTTTTAATTATCTTACATTTGTACACTGTAACCTGAGGTACACTTCTTTCCATTCTAAAAATGAGAGAGTCATAAACATTTGGTACAGTTACTGAGAGAAATATGAGAAGGGAGCTAGTTTAAAGCAAATCTTTCAATTGCTTAGGTGAAGTAACTACTCATCTTTAGGAACTTAATTTTTGCCTGCAATACTTACCCCATTGGGAGGAGAGGAAATCCATTCCAACTCTGTCTGTTGTGCTTTAGAGTCCAGCAATATTACTAAAAAGAAAAAAAAAATGTCCATTTTTTGTTAAATATAAGTGAGAATATAAAACCAAAGAACAAAGTCTGAATAAAAAAAAGTGATAAAAAGAATACAATTTTTGTTCAAATTAATGTTTTTCTTCATGTTATAAAAAATATTATATGCAAGCACAACTATGCATTTACTTGTAAACAGATTATTAAGTGACTATGTACAATCCACATGTGAGCAGATATACATTAATCATAACAATTTCATTGCTTAAATCGAAGCGTATTGTGTTTCTTAGTGCTCTAAAGTGTTACTAATCAGTCATTAAGATGTACGCTCCCTTCATCTGCTTTGTCATAAGAAGGACTTTTCCCATATGCTGGTTATTACAATGAGCTTAAAACAAACAAATGCACACCAACATTTCCAAACATTTCCAAACACCAACACTTTTCCAAATTGATTTAGACAGAGCCAGTCTATACCTTACAGTGAGTTGTGCTGCGAGTGAGAAAGAAAAAAATATGCCCCTTAGGTGATAAAGCAGTAATTCTATAAACAAATGACAACCAGGAATACAGAAAATAAAAGACTCTGCAATTACCTCACAATTTGCATACACAGAATACTACATAAACAAAATCACACTAATTCTCTTTATGGTAATGGCTTACTAAAATCTTCATGTCATTATACCCCAGTGACACTTCGATACAAAAAGACATCAGTTCTAGTAGCACTGCCATTATTTTCAGCTAAAGGTAGCGCCATCTCCAAAAGCGGTTAATCACAGCTTAATAAATCCACTCAAATATTTTACGGTATATATTAGAGGTTATATTATTGATGTTCTGTTACCTCCAAACATATATTTCTATATGTGTCTTATATTTCAATCATAGTTATAAGCTTCTTTCTTAGCATATTATTATAGGTTTCTGTAAGACTTTCAAATGATACATATCTTAATCTGTGATGTCCCAACAACAACAAAAAAAAAAGTTCTGTAACTTGCTGTAATACCTTTTTTCGAACAAAGACATAGAGTGATCAACCATGTATCTAGGCTGGTACACTTTGAAGATTTCTTCTTCAAAGCTGCACATTTAACTTCATTACTTCTATTTCATTAAATAAAAAGTAACATTAAGAATTTAAATCTATTCAGTATATTTTTAGCTATAAAGCTATTTATAACTTTATACACAGCATTTAAGTACTGATATTTCAATGCATGATTTAAAGCTGTAACTTGAAGCAACTTTTGTTAGGTCTTTTGAAATGGTCGTAAGTCTGGCTTCGGCCCTTTCTCCTATGAGATTTTAACACAAAATTTCAGTGAATTACTAGAAAGATGAGATGACTAAAAAAAGTTATTTAAAGTTTCATACAGTAATATCTGGACTGTTAGCTGAACATAAAACGGTAGCTTCCAGGCCTATATTTCAGTAACAAAGTGGAACTACTCATTAAGGAACTTTGATAGTCTCTCCCTAGAAAGATTATCTGCTTATTTCATTAAGCTTGGATTCAAGGGGCTTTAGTTTGTAACACTTTCTATAGAAAAGCAGGTGGTGTATGTGGCGGTTTGTTAAACAAGGACATATATAATGGTCCTGGAAAAAAAAGGTAGCACGAATAAATTAACCATTTCAGCACTAGCACAACACCCCATGGCTGCAATTCATCGTGCTTTTTATCCGGCAGCAATTCTCCACCACACAGCGACGGGCGGGCACATCCCAGAAAGAAAACACAACAAGCAAACACACACACACACAGAGAACCCTGCTCTGCAAACACCCCTTGCAAAGGAAACGTGGCGTTTCCGTGTGGCACCGAAAGTTAGTGGGGAAGAGCTTCCCAGGCGAGCGGCTGGTGCGCTGCCGCCCTCCGCGGGGTGCGCCGCGGGCCGCTCT